CATGGGAGATCTCTCCACTTTCTATAGTCTTCCTCAATCTCTTTCTTCAGAAGTGTATAGTTTTCCTTGTAGAGGTCTTTCACATCTTTTGTTAGGTTTACACCTAGGTATTTGATTTTTTTTGAGGCTATTGTAAATGGAATTGTTTTCATACATTCTTTTTCAGTTTGCTCATTGTTAGTGTATAGAAATGCTAATGATTTTTCTATGTTGATTTTATATCCTGCTACCTTGCTATAGCTATTGATGATGTCTAGAAGCTTCTGAGTAGAGTTTTTGGGTCTTTAAGGTATAGGATCATGTCTCTGCAAATAGGGATATTTTGACAGTTTCTTTACCTATTTGTATTCCTTTTATTCCTTCTTCTTGCCTAATTGCTCTGGCTAGGAATTCCAGTACTATGTTGAATAGGAGTGGAGATAGTGGGCATCCTTGTCTGGTTCCTGATTTTAGAGGGAATGGTTTCAGTTTTTCTCCGTTAAGTATAATGCTGGCTGTAGGTTTGTCATATATAGCTTTTATAATGTTGAGGTACTTTCCTTCTATTCCTAGTTTTCTTAGAGCTTTTATCATGAAATGTGTTGGATCTTATCAAAGGCTTTTTCTGCATCTATTGAGATGATCAAGTGGTTTTTGTCTTTGCTTCTGTTAATGTGGTTTATTACGTTTATTGATTTTCGTATGTTGAACCACCCCTGCATCCCTGGGATGAAGCCTACTTGGTCGTGGTGAATAATCTTTTTGATGTGTTGTTGAATTGGTTTGCCATTATTTTGTTGAGGATTTTTGCATCAATGTTCATTAAGGAGATTGGCCTATAGTTCTCCTTTTTGGAGGTGTCTTTGCCTGGTTTTGGGATAAGTGTAATACTGGCTTCATAAAATGTGTTTGGCAGTTTTCCTTCCCTTTCTATTTCATGGAACAGTTTAAGGAGGGTTGGTATCAGTTCTTCTTTAAAGGTCTGATAGAATTCAGCAGAGAATCCATCAGGTCCTGGACTTTTCTTTTTGGGGAGACTCTTGATTGCTGCTTCAATTTCATTTTGTGTTATAGTCTATTCAGGTGATTAATTTCCTCTTGGTTCAGTTTTGGATGATCATATGTATCTAGAAATCTGTCCATTTCTTTAGATTTTCAAATTTATTTGAATATAGGTTCTCAAAGTAGTCTCTGATGATTTCCTGGACTTCCATGGTGTTTGTTGTTATCTCCCTTTTGCATTCCTGATTCTACTAATTTGGGTTTTTTCTCTCCTCATTTTAGTCAGGTTTGCCAGGGGTCTATCGATCTTGTTTATTTTTTCAAAGAACCAACTTTTTGTTTCATTAATTCTTTGTATGGTTTTTTTGGTTTCTATTTCATTGATTTCAGCTCTTATTTTTATTATTTCTCTCTTCTATTTGTTTTGGGATTTGCTTGTTCTTGTTTTTCTAGGAGTTTGAGATGTATCATTAGGTCATTGATTTGGGATCTTTCAATCTTTTTAATATATGCACTCATGGCTATAAACTTTCCTCTCAGGACTGCCTTAGCTGTGTCCCATAGGTTCGGTAGGTTGTGTTTTCATTTTCATTGACTTCCAGGAACTTTTTAATTTCCTCTTTTATTTCATCGATGATCCATTCTTCATTAAGTAATGAGTTATTTAGTTTCCAGCTGTTTGCATGTTTTTTGTCTTTACTTTTGTTGTTGAGTTCTACTTTTACTGCATTGTGATCAGATAGTATGCATGGTATATTTCTATTTTCTTATATTTGCTGAGGCTTGCTTTGTGCCCTAGGATATGATCTATTTTGGAGAAGGTTCCATGGGCTGCTGAGAAGAATGTATATTGTGTAGAGTTGGATGAAATGTTCTGTAGACATCTACTAGGTCCATTTGATCTATTGCATATTTTAGATCTTGGATTTCTTTATTGATTTTTTGTTTGGATGACCTATCTATTGATGATAATGGGGTGTTAAAGTCTCCCACAACCACTGTGTTGGCGTTTATATATGCTTTTAGGTCTTTCAGGGTATGTTTGATGAAATTGGGTGCGTTGACATTGGGTGCATACAGATTGATGATTATTATTTCCTTTTGGTCTATTTCCCCTTTTATTAGTTTGGAATGTCCTTCTTTATCTCATTTGATCAATATAGGTTTGAAGTCTACTTTGTCAGAGATAAGTATTGCTACTCCTGCCTGTTTTCGGGGCCATTGGCTTGGTAAATCTTCTTCCAGCCTTTCATCCTAAGCCTATGCTTATTTCTGTCAGTGAGATGGGTCTCCTGTAAGCAACAAATTGTTGGATCTTCTTTTTAATCCATTTTGTCAAGCGGTGTCTTTTGATGGGTGAATTAAGTCTGTTAACATTAAGCGTTAATACTGATAGGCTTTGTTTGCTCAGAGTTCTCCTGTGCGGGAGCCTCTGCTACAGGCTTTCCCCTTTCCAAGCACTGGGAAAGGTGACACTGCCCCCGCGTTGTCAGGCCTGCGTGTTTATTTACAGTTCATGTGGGAGGTGGGTCTTCCCCCGTCTCCTGTGCAGTTTTCCTCTCACTGCCACTTTCACAAGCTTTCCTGCCCCTGATTACTGGGCAGTGCTGCTGCTCCTGCCGGCCGCCATGTTTGTTTATAGTTCACATGGGAAGTGGGTCTTCCCTCCTCTCCTGTGGAGTTTTCCTCCCTCCGCCACTCTCACAAGCTTTCCCACTCCTGGTTGCTGGGCGTGTGCCCCGCTCCCGCCAGAGGCTCTCCGGCCCGCCCAGCTTGTTTATTTACAGTCCCGGGAAGGGTTCCCTTCCCCCAATCTTCAGCGCTCAGGGCGCCCCACCCTCTTTCCAGCGTGTCTTAATTGTTCTTATTGCTTATTACTCAGTTTCTCTTTTTTTCCCCGGGAGGAGGTCAGTCTGTCCAGGGGGCTATGCTGCTCTGGCCCAGGCTTGTCTGTGGGGCTACCATGGTACCGTGAAGCTCACCTGGTCCGCGTCTTCCCAAGCCGTCTGGGTGCCGGCCACTGGTGGCCCGGGGGCCCTCGTCGTTTCTCTGTTTAACGTGAGGTGGAGATTCTCTGCACCGGCTGGAGATGTGGAGGGGTCAAAGTTATGCCTCTTCTCTGTGATTATGCCTGCAAAGTGTGTCTCCAGTGTCTCTCCAAGATTTCACTATAGGAGGCTCGCTTTCTGCTTCCTACCTCTAGCTGCCATCTTGGAATTCCTCCACTTGACTCTTTAAAAATAACTAACATTATGACTGAAGTACCATGTTTATATATATCGTAATAGCATACATTTTCAAAAAGACAGTATTTTAATGAACATTGACTCATGGTAGATCAATAGTGTATGCTATCATTGTCAAAAAGGCCAAAACAAACTTAGCTGTTTTAACGATGGCAGGAAGAACTGTTGAGGGAAAAGCACATTTAGAAGTTTATGGCTCTCCCCTAATCCTCAATGACACTCCAGAGTAGCAATGCTTTATTTATTTCGGGGTCCTCGTTTTCAGAGGATATTGGCAGATGGGAGTATGTTCAGAGGAAACTGACCAGATGGGAATGGGACTTGACACCACATAGTGACAAATGGTGGCAGGACACGGGTGATATTTAGATTAAGAAAGAAAAGACTTGGGGGAAAATAATAAAAGCTGAGTTACTGAGTGTTTATCCCAGGCCAGGCATTGTGCTCAGTCCTTTAATGGATCTTAAATATTATAGTCTATCATAATGAAAAGGGAATACTTTATTTTGAGTTGCCTTGGAAGGCAAGGATCACAGCTGTAGTTAGTGGAAACCATAAAGAGACAACTCTGCTTATTAGACTGATGACATTTCTACTCCCAAAGCCGACCAACAACAAAGTGAGCTGCCTTGATATGAATGAGCTTTGTGTCTTTGGAGGAATGCAAGCAGAGATGGAACAAACTTTCAGTGTAGGTATGTTAGAGAGAAATAATATTAAAAGGAGATATGGACTACATGAACTCTAAGACTTTATCCAACTTATCCTGTGAGTCTATCATTATCTTGGAGACACAGGAAACAAAACTTTTGAGTGCATCACTAGGTATAGCAGCAAGAAGAGTCTCTCTCACTCTCATTGTCTCTCCAGACTCATGTATTGACTATGAGAGGAACAATGCTGTATGTATAGATTGCTTTTTCAAAGTGTAATGAATTATTCTCATACTGCTTGAAAACTTCAAGTGTGGGTAGCATATACGTCTGCCATTGTATTTAAGTGCCATTATTTGTAGTTCTGAAATCTCCTCTGGTTGCATAACTTACTTTGAGCTTTGCTATTCTAAATGAGCACACTTTGATCATCAACCAAGTGCTTGCTATTTTTTGTTTTTTGAAGTACAGGGGATTAGACCCAGGGTTTCTCACATGCTAGGCAAGTGCTCTACTGAGCCACATCACAGGCCCTTTTGTTTTTATTTTGTTTTAAGATAGGGTTCTCTAAGTTTTTCCAGGCTGGCCTTGAACTCAGGATCTTCCAACCTCTGCCTCTCAGTAGGTGAGATTACAGCTATGTACCACCATGCCTGGCTCAGCCTGTATGTTCATAGCAATTAGCATGAAAAACTGTCTGTTATGACTAGGGAAAGATTGAAAGCTCACATAAATACTCAAAGAACCCATGTCATTTTATAGTTAGAGAATTCTCAAATACTGTATATTAATAGATAGGAAATTCAAGCCCAGAGAGATGAAATGACTTGTTAAATTCACATAGCCTGTGAGAAATTTGAGCACTTTCCCTTCTCCCCATCCCCAATTTACTGATGCAATTATATGTTTATTACAAAATACTGCTTTTCCACCTCCTCTCTCCTCTCTTCTCTTCTTCTCCTTCCCCTCTTTTTTCTTTTTCTTACATACATCCTTACTTATAGCCTGATGGGCATGTGATCTGAAAAAAATAAATATATCCTTTATCCATGCCCTTAGGTTGGTAGAAGTCCTAAGAATTTTTCGGTCTTAACTCTGAGTTGCTGTTCAATCTCTGCAGTGCTGCATATGATGCTGTCCTTGACAGAAACGTGGCCATTAAGAAGCTCAGCAGACCCTTTCAGAATCAAACTCACGCCAAGAGAGCATACCGGGAGCTGGTCCTCATGAAGTGTGTGAACCATAAGAACGTGAGTTTCACTGTTATTTTTAAACCTCTGGCAGTGGGAGGTTGTGAGACTGGGGAGAAAAAAATTGCCAACTTGAGTAGGAAAGGCTCTTTTTACTTTGCAATTTCTGCCTGTTAAGATTGTTTATCTTGCCCATATGCTACATTTAATTTCATTGTCCTCATGGTAGCTTCCTGCTTAAAAATCCTCTAAAAGCCATATGGCACAGAGGAGATGAATTTGATAGATATGTCCCTATTATAAAATTAACCTTATTTGGTTATCTCCCTTCCCATTAACTTGAGAGTATCATGTTTTTCAAACAAAACAAACAAAAGCAAAAAACAGAAAAAAAAGACCCTATCAGAACAATGTGCTATATTTCTTGATAATTTAAACTTAATAATTATGGATGAAGATTTTTATGTGTTGTGTTATCTTCTTTGTGTTTTAGATGTAGTCTGCCAGTGGTCTCCAACCATTCAGGGTACACATTGTGTGCTGGCATCTTGTTTTAGAAAGCACTTCAGAATGAGATCCTCATGAGTACTTTCTCATTTGAACTCAGTGGGTAGACTGTTATAGGCCTCTACACTTCAGAGTCTAGCTTCTCTAACCTCAAGCAAAGGCTTCTAGAATTCTTCCTGCGCTGCATTTCTTCTTAGCAAGAAATGAGAGATAATTGCTTATTTTTATATTGACTATTACATTTTTATAATGACTATTCTTAATAATTAACTTTTAACTAATTTATTAGACTTTTTTTATTATAAAAATAAATTATAAATTATTACTGAGTCATAATAGCTATTATAACTCCCTACAAAGTTTTTAAGTATAAAAATAATACCAAACATATGAAATTATCTGTATAGTTTTTTAAACAGAGATCGTATATAGCTAACCATCTACCTGTGGTGCTGAGAAGAAGCAAATGTATGAGTGATAGGCTGAAAAGATATTTGAAATGCAATGGATTCAGGCCTGATGAAAGTGTTTCTTTGTTCCTCTATTTCTCTACTCGAATGACCTTTTTTAGTTGTTTGATACCAATGATATTTTAATTCAGTCTTTTGACCTGTACTTGTTGAAGGAATGAAATGCACCAGGCACAGATTAGATGATATAGCTGTTGAGGATACACCAAGAAAACTAAGATGAGGCATGCCCCTCCTGTGTTTAGATTAGGCTTCCCTGGTAAGAAAGGCAATCCAAAACATAGTAGGTAAGTGTATGGAATGTCAGTGGGATGTAGGTGCTATTAAGTAAAATAGAGTAAGAAAGAAACATTTTTTAAAAATGCTGGTCAATGCGGGGTGAGATAGGATCACTTTTTTATAATAGATTGAGAAAGAAAGGCCTCACAAAAAAGGGGAATTTTGTGAAGTACTCATTGTACTCATCAATGAGATGGTTGTGCAGGAAATTTGAGACTTCTAGAAAGGAGTAGTGATAGAGAAGATGATCCTAAGAAAAGTCACTATACAAATTTGTTTTGTCAACATGTTAAATAAAGGCAGAAACAAGAGTGGCCACATGAGTAAGAAATATATTTTTATGGTAGTAAAGAAGACAAAGCAAACCATGGGCAATGCAAAGTGGATGGATACAAGCAATGAAGCAATTATATGGAAAGTTTTCCATACATATATATTCCCCTGATCTTCCTTCCAGATACTATAATGCAATGCATTGTGAAAAAATGCCCAATTATTTGGCCAATTTGAGAAAATTATACTCCCTGGTGTGGCTGGATGTTGTTTGCGTATGTACCCCAGAAGTTCATGTGTTAAAAGCTTGGTCCCAAGGGTGATGATGTGGAAGGCAGTAGGGCCTCTAAAGGTGGTGCCTACTAGGAGGTTCTTAGGTGATTGGGGATCTGTCTTTAAAAGGGAGAAATATAATTTTCCTGGGACCCCTGGGCTTTCGCAAGAGTGAGTTGTAAGAGTGAATCTGGCTCCTAAATCATTGTCTGGTTTCCTGTTTCATGATGGGATTTTTTATATACACGCCTTCTACCATGTGGTCCTCTCCAGAGCCAAGTTTATGCTGGAGCCCTTGAACCTCCAGAAACTGTGGGCTAAACACATGCCTTTTCTTTATAAAGTTAGCCTGCCTTTACTATTTTGTTATACTAATAGAAAACAGACTAATGCATTCCCTTTTTTCTTTTTTTTTGGTAGTGCTAAGATTTGAACTCAGGGTTTTATGCTTGCTAAGTATGCACTGTATGGCTTGAACCATACCTCCAGCCCCTTTTTAAAATACGGTCTTGCTTTTTGGCTTGGACCATGATTCTCCTATTTTATGCTTCCCACTATGGCGGGGATGATAGGCACATACCACCACAACCAGATATTGGTTGAGATGGGCATACCTTGAACCTTACTCCTCTAAGCCTTCAAAGGAGCTAGGATTACAGGTGAAATCCTAGAGCCACTGGTGCCCAGCTCTGCCTTTTTCTTGACTGAAATAAAGAAAATTCACATTATGATACCCAAAAAAAGAGTTTCAAATTACAACAATAATTTGTAAGTAACAGCCCATCTTCTACCTTCCTTTCATGTGTATGTGTATGTATGCATATGCATGGCATCCATATAAGTCTACAGAAATAAAAATTTCAACAGAGGAAATTTATTTATAATCAACTGTAAATTCTATATCAGTTCTTGTAAAACTAAGGAAAAGGCAGTTAGAATATAGAACTCTGTTAATGTTGCAAAAGTAATTCCATTAAATATTTAATGATAGTGAAGAAAATCCATTTAAAAAGTGAATACTCTAGGAAGTGATAATTGGTGTGATGGTAGGGGACCATAAGAGAAACACTAAATCCCATCTGTGCTTCCCAAGATGCTAGAATGAAAGAACTGACTCAAATTCCTGCTGGAAAATTTTTGAACTAAAACAGAAATACCTGTGATATTTTCTTTTCAAATACAAGATTTAAATTGGGTATTTGTAGGAACAGAAACTCATGAGGGAGCAAAGAATGAACAGAGGAAATATCTAAAAAGAAAAGCAGGGAAGAGAAAGATTACAAATAGTGAATATGTCCTGGGAAATTACCTTTTAAAACAAGAAAGCCTGATTTTTCTAAACTTGCAAATGCTATTTTCTAGGCTTATTTAACTTACTTAGATTCTTTGTTTATCAAAAGATGGGAGTTAGCATTTTTTTCCATCTTTAAGTTTGTATGATCATGTGTCCTTTGTATAGTCTGTTTTTGTCTACACGAATATGAAATGAAGTGAGATACTTTTTGAGAGTGATAAAGTACTAGAGAAACAGACCCAATATAGATGTTCAAATGAAAGGTAAATGTTCAACACTCACCTCAGCTAAGTATATCAATGTTTTTATTTTCATTTTCAACTGGGACATTAATCCACATTTTTTTTTTTTTAGTTTGAAGTTATCTTTTTTTTCTTTTATTCATCTGTGCATACAATGTTTGGGTCATTTCTTAATCCACATTTAGATGGAAGAATGTTGTGAGTTATTTACATATATAATTTATTTGGAAATGTGATGAGATTTTTTTTAAAAGTTGTCTTATTCTAGAAGGTAAACTTCTTTATTACCAAATGTGCAAAATAAACAAAAAGGTTAAAAGTGAATTTAGGTTACTGTTTAAGGTAGTTTTGCTTTTTTTTTTTTCGCTTAGCCACCGTACAGCTCTGTGTCCTGCCATGGAGAATCGTTCTAAAGTTATACAATTATAGGTCTTCTCTACTTCCTTCTGCTTAAGAACTTGAGCTTTTTAACTGTACTATTTACCTGAAAACAGATCATGTGTCCTTTCTAAGTACACATTTCCAGGTTCTGTGAAACAATCTAGAAATTCTCTCCAACTGATTGTCAGTTGGGATAAATACATTTATGTTTTTAAAATAATTCTCCCTTTTGTTTTTCTTTCCTCTGTCCTTTTCATGCTTTCTCTTTTAGATTATTAGCTTATTAAATGTCTTCACACCCCAAAAAACGCTGGAGGAGTTCCAAGATGTGTAAGTAACAAAACGACAAAGCTCATGAAGGGTCAGCACAACTCTCACTGAAATAATTCTAGGGGATATGACAAAAAATAAATAAAAATAGAAGAGAGGAAATCTTTTGCAGCAATCAAAGGGAGATAAGAGTTGGGATCAAATGAAAGACCCGCTATCTGTAGAGAAGACTGCTATGGGATTACTTCCTGAGAGACCCTCTGCCTTCTTCTGGCCTTAGGGCTCTATGTACTTTGCTGTTCCAATGTTCTTGGCTCAATCAGGAAAGACTTATTATTTATTTATTATTAATTGATTCTGTGCCCTTTCTAGGATGAATCAATTCACTTTGAGAACTATTAATAACAGGGACATTATAACATTATTCTTTATATCTATTTTTGTGGTGCCTTTGATTTTGTCCAAAATGAATCTGTCTAGAAAGACAGTGCTATAAGCAGAGGACAGGAAATGATTTCCTAGCATGTGTTATTTTTAACACAGACATGATTGTGGAAGTAGGTGTCCTGAAGTTTTTGTTTTTTTTTTTCTTATTTGTAATCATAATACTCAGCAAAGAATTGAGGGAAAAATGAGGACAAGATGAAGGGGGAAAATATCTGGGCATGAACCGCACACTAATAATTAGTGCTTCTAATAGCAATCTGGTGAGAGAGATGCTACAGCTAACACACAAGCAATACTTGGAAGCATTTCATATTCATGATTCAGTTAAAGGCAGACAGAGACAGTAAAGGGTTATAACTTGATTGACTTGTAAATTTGCCATCTGAAACTAACAGTGTGGATTTCCTCTCTAGTTACTTAGTAATGGAACTGATGGATGCCAACTTGTGTCAGGTGATTCAAATGGAATTAGACCACGAACGAATGTCTTACCTGCTATACCAAATGTTGTGTGGTATCAAGCATCTCCACTCTGCGGGGATTATTCACAGGGTGAGGACACTAAATCATAGGAACACTCAGTCAAATACAATGTACTTCCTTATTCCTTTGATAATAGAATTAGCACACAGTTGACTAAGTTGTGGACAGAGCTTCAAGCTATGCTGTGACTGTGTTTGACATTGTGCTCCAGTTTGTTGAGAGTCAGGTTCTGAGCAGTCCATGCTTTCAAGCTCCTTCATCTGTCCTATGTGCAGATGAAATAAGACAGGCCATTTCCACAGCTCATTTCTGGCAACATAAAGACTGCTACCCTGATCTGTTCCTCTGTCAGGTCTAGAAAGGAAATATAAACTGAGAATTTTATGTTGCCCTAAAGTGAAACTTAAGGGATGACAACAAATGATATGTTGTTTTTCTAAAACTTCTCCTGAGATGAGCCTAAATTGTAACAATGACAGTACTGGCCTAGATTTTCTTTTCTTTTTTTTGAGGATGCTTTTAAAAATACAAAACTAATTGTAAACTTCTTCATAGCAATAGTCATATGCAAAACTGCCCGGATGATTGAGTAGAGGGAAATTACAAGTGCCACTGAATACTGACTTTGACTTTGTTCGTTTGTTCCTATTGTCAGGATTTAAAACCAAGTAACATTGTAGTCAAGTCTGATTGCACATTGAAAATCCTTGACTTTGGACTGGCCAGGACAGCAGGCACAAGCTTCATGATGACTCCATATGTGGTGACACGTTACTACAGAGCCCCCGAGGTCATTCTGGGAATGGGCTACAAGGAGAACGGTAGGGATGCTTCTGAAACCATGAAGAAAATGAGTGCAGGCTTTAGAGAGTCAGGAGTATATGTTTTCTTTCATATATACAAAATTTCAAAAATAGAGCTACCAAGATTTCATATTCAGAGTTTATTTTTTAAATTACTACTGTGAAGAATCACTCATTAAAAATGTGATGGATGTTTCTGAGAAGTAAGCTTGGCTAGAAAAGCACTAAAATGTTAGAGCTGAAAAGAATTGCAAATGGAGTCTGATTAGCAGTCAAATACATACTGATTAACACACATGCCAGGAATATTGAGAAAACTTGTTTTTTGAGTTGCAACTCAGCTCACAGTGAGTGTGTAAACAGGAAGAAATCTATTTTTTTAAACCATTTGACTTTTATGTAATATCACAGATTGATGGTTCTAGTCCTAGAGAAAGACCAACAGAAATATCATAAATCCTTAGAATAAGATTCTTCACAAGTCAAGTTGTAATAATCCAAATTGTTCAAGTTGGATAAGAGTTTTATTTTTAAAATTTTAAACTATTCTATACGTAATGTTTAGGGTATCAATTGCCTAGAAATTTTTTTAAAGTCCGAAGACCATAGAAACTAAAAATATTAAAATTTACATTGCTTTTTACGTTGCTTTTAAAATTTACATTTACTAGGTTACATAAAGAAAACCTAGTATACACAAACACTTTAAAAGAAGGATATAGAAAGAATCTTTAAAATGTATTCAAATTGGATTTATTTGCTCAACATGGAGGGTTTATAAAATGTCTGTTAGAAAGCCTTGCAATATATTATTTTGTACAGAATATCTCTTATAAATAATGAATCATTTAAAAAATTTTCCAACATATGCAGCAATTAAAATAGTTTTATTAGGATTGTACATATTTACTCAAAGTACCTTTATACCAGAGTTTATATTCTGTTCTGTTTCATGCCTATTTTTTATAAATTCTATAAAATCAATTATCATTTTAATTTTATGTACAGGTGCTGTGGAGTAGTTTTATAAAAGTACCCTGGCCTATGAAATTTTAAAAATTCTTTCAGATTAGAAGACAGCCAATGTGTTTATGCAACTGTACAGAGGAGGGGTAAAGTCAGCATTTAGGAAGGTCAGGTTCACCTTTGTGGCCACTGTCAGAGTTCTGCTACTTTTTGACTAGGAATTGTTGAATGGAGTCCTCCTCCCAGGAAACTCTATTGTGTATGCTCTTCACAAGTTATCTTGCAAAAATAAAAGGGGAATCAATTGATGGAAAGTCAAGAACCAGGACTATAACTGATAATAATTTATTCTATATTTCAAGGTAACAGTAAGATAGAATTTTGAATGTTCCCAACAAAAAGAATTGATAAATATTTGAGGTGATGGATATGCTAATCGCATGGATTTGATCATTATACATTGCATACCTGTATTAGCTATCACACTATATCCTATAGATAGGTACAATTGCTATTGGTCAATAAAAGAAAAAGAATTGAGGATGTACAAGAGGCTAGAGGATTGAATTTGCCTATATTTATGGCTTTACAGATCTTTGCTGCACAGACAGTAAGCACTCAAAACCCCTTTTCTTCCCTGACTAGAAAAAAAAGAGTTGCAATTTGCTGCCTTCGTTTATTGGCTTTCTTAAGTGGATGGAGATGGTGTGCCTAGCGCCCTGTGCTGTCCTCCTTCTGAGACCAGGAAGGTTATCATGCAGAAAACCCTGCTTGCTCCCGCATCAGGCATGCCCAGCTGTCCTGTGCACTTCACCCTGCCTTCCTTCCCCATGGAGCAACTCAGCCTAGTGTTTTTGCCCCAAAGTTCCCTTTGTCCTTGATAAAAGGGAGTTGGAAGAGGGTTAATGTTGGTAAAAGAAAGCAAAGCATGTTTTGATTAAGTATGACATTTGGGAAATAGACATATGTACCCTAACAAATTTTTAATATATTTTATACCTGCTTTTTTACTTCTAGATGATTCCTTTATACATGTGTGGATTCATCAAGTATCATTTTCTCAAAATATTTCACATAGATATTAAAACTGGTGTTTATTTAGAAGGCTAATTTCTGAAGGAAGAACTAAGTCTTGAATACCAGGGATTCCAGTTTTTTCACTTGCCAAACATGGCTTCAACCATTTCCGAGTTTCTTGGACTTGGTAAAATATCTCCTTATTTTGAACAACAAAAAAAAAGTGCTGTCTTGTCCTGTTTCACATAACTGGATAGAATAGAAACTGAAAGAGCCAACCTTAAAGGTTGATTGAGATTATTTTTCTATATTCAACAAATGATGTAAAAAAATCTCTTGGTGGCTCTAGCAGTCACCTGCCACGAAGATACTTTTGGTTTGACTATTGCTTTTCCACGTCAGTAACTGGCATGGCAATCTTAGGCATCTATAAAATAATATTTCCTTAAATATTAATTTGAGTTTTCATGCTAGGCACTGTTTGTATAATCGTATAGAGTTGGTTTTAATTCATTTTTTGGCCAACTTTGGGTGGGAGATGAAAATTGTATCTTCTAATGAAACTGTTCTTTTTCCTCCTCCTTCAGAGGTCAGCTATCTCAGTTAACTGTACTCTACTCCCTTTTCTTCACGTCCCTCTCTCTCCTGTTCTAGTGGATATATGGTCTGTGGGATGCATTATGGGAGAAATGGTTCGCCACAAAATCCTCTTTCCAGGAAGGGATTGTATCCTTGTACTTTTGGCTGCAGCTTTATCAGTTTTGTTTTCTCTCCTTTTAAACACATAATGTTTTCCCAGGAAAGTAAAGATAGAAGCAAAAAGTTGGGTAAGTGGTGTAATTCTAATAACTCAATGCTAGGAATCTCTCTGTATAGCTATCTTTATCTCAAACTAGCAAAAATGCTATGTCTTTCTTATTAAAAAAAAAGTGATAATTTCTGCAAACCGACCAGTACTGCAGGCCACAATGATTTCTTTTAATTAAAATTTCAATGGGCTTTTTTCTTTAGTTATTTCATGCCTTAACTCAAAATGGCAATGTTATTTTTTGTAAATAACAAAGAACCCCCCAGTCACCAAATGAATAAAATATATCTTTGTAACTAGTGAAAGAAGTCACCATTTTCAAGTCATTTTCATCTCCTTTCCAAAACTGTTTAGTGCTTCTACAATATTTAGACTGAATAATTTCTCTCCTTGTGGCATTCTAGGCTTCTGTCTAGGGCTTCATTGACTTGAATTACTGTTGACATCCTACCCAGTCTTAAAGAGGTCAATATTTGGAATTTCCTCTTCAAAACATGAACCTCCACATTCAAAAATCATGATTACTCAAATTGCCAGAGGCCAAGTGAGTTTAAAATAGGCTTCACTCACTTGGCTTTGAGAAGTGGCACAGAGGTGGAAAATTGCTTTTCCAACCAAATTTAGAACTTTAGGAATTAGTGTGGATTTGAATTCTACCGCCGGGTAGTTTCCATCAGAAATTTCTCAGAGTATCATCCATGAGTAAGGAATATTAAATAAACAGGTATATTTCATAAATAACCAAATATTCACTGCATAATAAAGGCACATATTTGTATTTGTAGTATATAAATAATGGAAGTTTGCACACTGACAGTAGAATATACTTTTATGAGGCAGAAATATCTTGTTAATGAACAACACTAGTACAAAATCCAAGTTAACCATAACTAAAACTTTAACAATATTGGTGCCAGGTAAATTCAGTATAATAATTAAATGTTAAGTTTTTGGAAATTGGAAATAAGAAAGGTGGTCCACAACTTCATTAATCACTCTATTTGAATAAGAAAGTTCTATTGAGCAACTCTTTTATTTTTTATTTATTCATTTATTTCTTTTTTTATTATTTTGGTGGTACTGGGGTTTCCACTCAGGGCTTTCTGCTTGCTAAGCAGGTGCTTTATCACCTCCAACTCCCCCCACCCCCTGCTTTTTTTCTGCTTCAGTTATTTTTCAGATAGGGTCTCATGCAGTCTGCCTACACCTCCCACTTGGAAGGGAATTACAGGTATGCACCACCATGCCTGGCCTCAACCTTTTTATTATACAAGAAAGAGTATGATTTTTATTTCCATAAGGAAAAAAGGCCAATAGTACAAAAACCTGACTCTATAATCAAAATGAGTATGTATTTATATAGGCATTTATTCATTCTGGTGGGCATTAATGAAATATTCCCTAAATTCCACCAATAATGAAAAGTAATGATATCATCTAGCTCTTCACTGTCCAATAGAGGGCCACTAGCCACATGTTGCTATTTGGCAGTTAGATTCTAGACTGAATTGACATGCATTGCTTGTATCAAATGCATATCTCTTTTTCAAGATTAAAAATGTTAAATATATTATTACTAATTTCATATTGATTATTTGTCAAAATAATATTTTGAATATATTGGTAAAAATATATATTATCCAAATCAATTTCACTTCTTTCTTCCAATTCTTTTCAAGTGTGACTATTATTAAGATTAAAAATTCATACTTAACTTGCACCGGTGACTTAGTTTTTCTGCTGGCTAGCACTGGTTTAGAACATGAGATAACCAGTGGCAGGCTTTTGAAATCTTAACACCTTAAATCATCATATGCTTCATGTTCCCTTAGCTATAATCTGAAGTACCACTACTATCATCATCAAATTTCATGTGATTACCTTGGGAAATTCCTTTTACTTTACTTATTCACAGATTGGAGATGAATTACATAACCAATGTAGTTGATTTGGACAATATTGTAACCTACACTCACGTTTAAATGAACTGATCTCATTCAAAAGTAGGAATTATTTTCTTTGTGTTTTTGCCTTTGGGATGTACACATTTCAAACAAAGAAAAAGGAACCTTTGGATCAGTGTGCAGAATGAAGCTGCTTAGCCATGTCTTTGTAGTGCAGTTGCTAGTGGGAGACAAAAGGCCTGGGATTCCAGCTTCCCTGTCACCTTGCACTTACACATCACTTGATTTCCATATAGCACAGCTGTTTTCTGAGATTTTCTTTAGCAATCCAGACATTTATCCGGGCTCTTTTCCTCTTATTTTGACAATTTAAGCCAGTAAACTTAGAAAAAACTAAAAGATTGCAGTTTCTTACCATTTCAAAGGGAAGGGAGATGCAGATAGCCCCTTTAGTTTCCCTATTCTTGTAACTTGACATTTAAAAGGAGAGGGCTAACTATTCTAGATTTTCATTTTTTTACTTCCTTATCCAATGTAAGTCTGACCCTTTTTAATATTCATTAAAAATAATATAATTTCCCTATCTCTTCATCTGTCTACCCTGCCCCACATAGACTGCTTCCAAGATTATGCAGTTTTTAAAAAATATCACCAATTCTTTGAATTATTTATAATTTATTAATTATTTAATATAAATTATTCTAAGGCTAAAAATGATGTGATGTGATAACACAAAAATGATGTGATAATAAAAAATGATGTTTAATACAATAATCAATGCTATTCCTCACTCTTCACAGAACTTTTTAATCTGAACCCTAACAAAAATAGTGAAACACCTTCACCAATCTGGAAATCTTATGAAACTGTTATCAGTGACTAAGTTTTAACTTACAATTGTATTTGCATTTTGAGAAATATGATGGGAGTTTTTTATGATTGATATGATCTGTATGGCATCACAGAGTACCTTATTGATCACCAAATCAAAGTGTTTGAAAAATAAACACAGTTTAAAAGAAATTTGCTTTTCCATCCATCTGAGAAAATTAGTATTTTAGTAACATCTGAACTGACTTAGTATTTCTCCTAAGGAAAGTGACACAACTATTGAGTGCAAATAAATTTGCTTTCAGCCTACGGGAACACTGATGGTGGAGGACATTGTGATGAATCAGAAGCCAGAATTCTACCTAGGCAGCGTTTGTGTAGCGAGCTCTAATGGAGACCCAAATACTATATTGAATTATCTCAGAAGTCATAAAAATCCAGTTTCAGTGATGGAATTTACTAATTACTTCTTTATTTTTTTATTTTTTATTTTATTCATATGTGCATACAATGTTTGGGTCATTTCTCCCCCCTTCCCCCCACCCCTTCCCTTACTTCCCCCCACCCCCTCCCTCTCCCCCAACTCCTTGCTACCAGGCAGAAACTATTTTGCTCTTACCTCTAATTTTGTTGAAGAGAGAGTATAAGCGATAATAGAAAGGATTAAGGGATTTTGCTAGTTGAGATAAGGATAGCTATACAGGGATACTAACTACTTCTAAGATCAATGTATAGTCATCATTTACTGTAATATCTTGAAAATTTCCTAAAATAGTCTGACAAGCATATCAGTTACTAATGTACATACATAGAGGGAAGGCTTACCACTATCTCCTCTTCCCTACCTGACAGGACTAGTATCAAATTCTTTTATTACCTGTTTCCTGTTAGGTGGGATGACTGATTGATTCTTAAAACTTGGCATAAGGGCTTTATTTTGAGTAGTAATCCTATCTTGAGTGCGTAAAAATCCACATAAAGTCATGGAAATATATCACACTCTTAAATCACCAAAACAAAGTTCATCCTCTCTAGGCCCCCGACCTGTGTGACCTAAGCATGGGTAGTCAGTAAGAATAGTGAATTGTGAGTAAAGCTAGGATGGGAATTGAAAGGTCTCCAGGGTATTATCACCTAGAAAGATATGTTAGAACAGAGAAAGATGGACTTCAACATGAATATCAGAAGTTCAAATGTAGAGTTTATATACCATTTTATACAAAATGTTTGTGACCTATTAAGGCTGTTTTGAGTTCTGACCATGAAGATAAATTTTGAAGAATTCTCTGGCTTTGCTTTGGAATGTTGACACCCTGCAAAAACACCCAAAAGAGAACCAGAAGTCATACCAATTATTAATATCAGTTATCAAAATAGTATCTGTCTAGAACAACTGAGGAAAGCAACGTAAGGCCTGAGGATCCAATTTAGACCATCTGTTGTTATAGTCCAGAAGATAAATTGGTCAGTTTTAGGGGAGAAGTGGTTAGGCATTACAGATTACCTTCAGATATTTTAAAGTTATTATTTAGATGAGGAAATAGAGAAATTCCTGTTTGGATAATGAGAAAGAGTTCATCAATATGGTGATTCAATATGAGGATTCTTTTCTAAGTGGTTTCAACAATGAAATGGCTTGCCTAGTGAGTGGTGAGTTACCCTCATTGGAAAGATTTCTTTTTTGTATTTGTTACTATACAGTATAGTATAATATTACATAAACAGAAAATACACCTTTCTTATAGATACCCAGTCAATATATGTATTATGTTATATAATTAATATTTATTGAGGACTTACTATGTGCCAGGCAATGTGGAAGACCTTTACCAGACATAATCCTTTCAATGCTAAACACTTTTTATCATTTACACTTTAGAGGATAAAATTGAGGTTTACAGAGGTAAAATAACTTGGTCAACGTTACACAGTTAAAAAAGCAGTAGAGCTGGTTGTGCAGCAGAAAATAAAAATGAGCATCTGCCAGGGATTTGTAGAAAAAAATTTTGTATTAAGTAAGAAAAAGAAATAGATGTTTCAGAAATCCCAGACAGGTCCATGGTGGAGTCTTTTTCTACAAAAAAGTATATCTTTTGTAGATATCACTATCTACAAAAAATATATATACGCTGCTAAGTGTCAGCTTAGTAGACTGGTCACTTCAGACAGGATAAGAACACTTGTAATTAAAAATAAATGCGTTGTCCAAGCTTCTTTTCTTTTTGTTCCTCAAAGATTGTCACAATGCCAAGCTCTTGTGAACCAGGCAGTACCTAAAGTTACAATGCATTAGTAACAAGGGACTCACAACTGTTTGCTCTATCTTTCCCTGATATACTTTTGCATGTCACTTGCTTTCCGGTAGTGGAAGCAAAACAAATTTGCTTCTCTGGGTCTGCTTTTCACCTTCAAAGCTCTAACCATTTCTTTGCAGTGATCACTCTGTTTAGGTATGAAATCAAACAGTGGAAACTAGGTATAACCCCAGTGAGATTTCCACATTGGAAAGAATCTCATGAGGAAGTCTTTAGGGTCACTGCCAAATTACGTGATGTAATTTGAAATGTAAGTGGAGCAAAATTATATTGTGCCGCTCTCTTAATGCCTTTTCCTATTTGCTCACCCTCCATATCCTTTGTCTGTTTTTTTTTTCCCATAAGAATAATCTCTCTTCCTGACTTTCCAGAACAAAGAGTAATCAAGTATAGTTGCAGAAAGCAGCTTCATTTTCTGGCTTCTCCCTTCTGCATCTTGCCCCTCCCTATGTGCCCTTGCTGTGGCTTCCTGGTTTGAGTTCTGGATGATAACTGGCAATAATAGAGACCATTGTAATTTGCCCTTCAATTCCAGGTTTCTTTTGATCCCCAGTCACAAAAGTGTCAACTCTTTCGTCTTGTTTATTTCATGTTGAACCATCCTATTTTGAAAGCCAGCATTTCTCACCATTGTAGAGCAACCATGTTTATGAGAGGAGGGCAGCCTTCCTGTTTAGAAGCACACTCCTTTGATGAGATTTAATGAAATAGAGCCAGCATATTCCAAAACATTCTTTCTTTAACTGGCATATCACTTCCGGAAACTTATTCATGTTATAAATAAGAGTAAATGAATTTTATACTCTCTTTTAAGGTTGCTGGCAGCTCAGCTTTTCTTTTTTCTTCCTCCAAATATGGTTCACAAAAGAATAAAAAAGAAATTGATTTGCATGTTTCCATGTTAACATAATCTAGAATAATTTACAATACAAATCAGTAGGATTCTAGTGGATGAATGCAAATTAGATCTTTTAAGTCAGAAACTAAAGAAATCATTGAATTATAATTGCAAAGTAATATTATCATATTTTAGGTAGCTTTGGTAGTATTGTTAGTTCAGCTGTGTAGCAGCAAGGGCCCTGACATTCTGTGTTTACTCTTTTTAACTACTTTAAAACACTAGTGGTTAGGAGACTGGCCTCTCATCTAGTCAGTGAAAGGTCAGACTGTTGCTCTATAGCATAAGTGGCCCAGTGTTTTCATTTATTTGTCCTTATGTTCCTGTGTTCTTGTTTATCTTCATTTCATTTTTGTTTTCAGTCGACATGTGGTCAGTAGGGTGCATCATGGGAGAAATGATAAAAGGTGCAGTGCTGTTTCCTGGCACTGATCGTATCCTTCTTAGCAGCCAGTGGTCTTTATGGGTGTCATTCTCAATTAATTCCCCTTTGTTTCAAAGGCAACACTGCGGATGGTATAAATTCATTGCCCCTGGAGGGTTTCTGTGAGACTCAATGTCAAATACACACAAGCTGGTACCATGGTAGTGACCTTGTCTCCTAGCAAGACCTTATGTGGATCATATAGTATTAAGCCTGAAAAATTCAGCATATCAAAAAGTCTGCCTTAATTCAGATCTGCCAAACTAGTAACATTTATCTTCATTATTTTTTTGTTGTTGCAGATATTTCAAAATTAAGGTATATTCATAATGAGATAATAAATGGCAAAGTGTTTCAGTGTTAAAACTGAAGATCTGTACTTTTATTTCATGAGAAATATTCACTCACTATGGAAATCCTTAATCAGGTAGATTTATGGTCACCCACAAACACAATTGGTTTAGTTTTGCACGTATTCAGAGTGTGCATATACATTTCATTTTTGAATTGGTCCACCTCTTCTAAATTTCTTTTTCTCATTCACTTCATTTATAGGAAAAGTATCTCAATCCTGCTCTCGTTTCCACCATATTATTAAGTGCAATAATTAAAACCTCATTAATTAAAGACGATTAAAAATAAAATAACTGAAGAAATCACTTAAATCACTTGGATAAATGCAAATAATCCTCCTTTAAGCAGCAGATAACTAGTAGAGATTCCCAAGACTCTGAGTATTAAATAAATATGGATATTGTGAGATTAGTATGTGGATATTTAATGGGTCCCACCATCATGCTTGAAAATAACTTATTCCCTTCAGTTTGCTAAATACTTCTCAACATGCAGTCACTTATGAAAATGTTATATCTTCATCCCACTAAAGGTAAAACTTCTGTTTAAATGATCATAATTCAGAAGGATAATTGAGTCCATAATAGTGGGGTTTTAATGTTTAATTAGAGTAAATCTAATTACTAATATTATGTATCCATACCATATTATTTTGTATTTCTATTACCTATATTTCCATTCTTATGAAGTGCCTATGATACAACTGCAAACATGAAGATGAACATATTATATATTATACAGATATAGTTTCTCACACCATGTCTCTAGTTTCACATGTGCAATTTCATGCATATATTTGCCTTTTGTTTTCAAAGGAACAGTTCAAGAAACAACTGAATTAGGTATTTTGTTAATGAAAGAATTTCACTTGAAATGGTTCTCTCGGTTACAAGTAAAGTCATACTAAGTTGATTTCTGACTATTGTTGCTAAAAAGGTGCACTAGTCTTATACATGGCACACTTATTTTCAAACTCCTTCTGTCTATACATGTACATTTTCTTAAATGACATCTATAAAATTACCATATTCATATTAGTGTTAATGCTATTTTAAAGGTATGTTGGCCTATTAAAAACAGAGTTCCTTCAGATTTCTTAAAAAAAACAGGATTTAAAAAAAAATTTCAAAGTAATTATAAACTTGTATTGACATCTGAAAACAAATTTGAATGGATCTTAAGTTTTGGCAAATTTCAGAGAATTTTATGAAAATGGACTCAATCTGTATACTCTTTGCTTTTCCAGAAATTTATCATGACTGAATTTGAAGGTTCAAAAAATATTTGCCACCTGTAAATTTAAATGGTCATTTTTGTTAATATCATTACCTTGTCTGTTAAAGAAAGTTGAAACAGATTTCTGCAATCGAATTATTAAACACAGTTTCCTTAATATTTATCAGAATCCTTTCTTCGAAGAAGTTGCTTGCATGCAATTTTTTAAACTTGAATGTCAAAATCCCTTATAAATAATGCTTAAGGCTGCAGGTAATGTTACAAGGTCATATTAGATGCTCTTGATACTTTGATACTGAGTTTTTTTCTGAAGCTCTCATATGGGACACATTTGTAAATTTCTTATAGGACAAATGGACTGTGGTTTTTAATGATTTCAATCATGTTTGTGAAAACTTTAAATCAGTTTGGTTTCAAAAACCAGACAATGACCACTGAATATCATCCAGTTAACTTCTTAAAATGCAAGTCAGACTACTTATAAAAAATTATTTGTTATTAAAAGTGACTTAAGAGACAAAAATTCTATCTAAATCTATTAGCTAGAAACTTTGAAAATGGAGACAGAGGTAGAGAATATGTGTGATGTACATTTGTACAGTACTTTATAAGGAATCAAATTTTTTTAGTCAAGTACCCTCATTTAAAAGAAAATGTTCTTAAGATGAATGATTTCTGAAAGCTCTCACATGATGGACTATACATATTGTTTTAAGGTATAACTCAAGATCAGACTTAAGATGTTAACAAGATCTTATATTCTATAGCTTATATGTTTAAAATGTTTAACATGTTAGTTTATTTTATATATTCATTGAATGTTACTTAATCAAATAAGTTTTTAACTCTTCACAAAAGAACCAGAATTCAACTGTTGAGACAATTTCTCTAGGGAGAGCTAATGAATTTGATCACAGTTGACATTTTTACTTTACAAATTATATAATATTGCATATTATATAAGTGAATTATTAATAAATATAGCACCCCAGAAGAGGGTTAATAAGTGATCACATGCACTGCCATCAGGCTAAAAAGAGAGTCATACCAGTGCCTTTGAATCTTTGGTTCACGCTACTCAGACACATCTTCCTTCTGCACGAAGCACTAAATAATGTTCACTCTCTCCTTGATTGTCCTTACATCTTTATCACATGCATATTTATCTCTTTTTTGGGGTTTTTTTTTTTTGGTGGTACTGAAGTTTGGATTTTTTTTTTAAACAGGTCTTTTTTTTTTAGATATCCATGATGATGGAATGGAAGCAAACTCATTTTCATTGCTGTGTAGAATTCCAGTCTATGAATCATCTGCCATCTACCAATCAATTTTCTTTTAAGTAGATTTTGAGATAAATTCATCATTGTTTTTGTTTTTGCCTTTTTGAACAATAGTTCTGACAATATATGTTTCCAGGAGCACATGCACAAGATTTGCTTAATTATAAATTCCTGGAGGCATAGGGCATAGGTTGTTAACTTTACTATGTAATCTCACATCAACTCCAAAGTCAATTTATATATATGTCTGCTCCACATCCTCACCAACGTTTGGTATTGCCAGGTTTACTTACTACTTGTTTTCAATGTTTAAATTAGAGTGTGCTGTACCACCGGGCTTCCATTTCATTGACTACAATATGAGAAAGGCTAAACAACTTTCCTGCGTTCGTTGGCCATTAGTATGTTCCTCTTGGTAAAATGTCTTTTGTTTTTACTTATTTATTGTTGATAGCAGTTCTTTTCAAAATTATTATCATATTATTGTTCTACTGGAGGTGGATTGTGACATTGACTTAAAATTTTGTTCTACTGTGTTATTTTTCTGTTAATCATTAGAAGGTCTTTATGTGAACTGACATCTCATCTTTGTCAGTTTAGTGTGCTGCAGACATCTTCACCATTTTTCATTGTATTTTATATATCTTTATATATCTTATAGTGACTTTGGAATTTAGTGATCTGTTTTAATCTATAGCGTCTGTATTTTTAGGTCTTAAGAATTCTTTGATAACTTTGTATTCTCATATAATTAATCTGTGAATATTTTAAAGTTTAGTCTTTTACATTTAAGCCTTTAGTCCACTTGGCATTGGTTTCTTTTTGTATCTGAGTGATAGAGGGATAGAATTTATTTTAACCCAATTCCATTTGTTGACAAGCTTATTCTTCCTTCAATAATCCATAATTTGGTTTCTGTCATAAATTTTCATGTATCAGGGAAGAGGAATAGATTTTGGGCTCTATATTCTGTTCTATGGGTCTGTTGTCTATCTTTGTACCACTAGAACCCTCTTTGAGTGAATTAAAATATATATTATTCACTTTTATCATATAAGATAAATACCTAAAATCATCTTCCTCAGAGCAAGTTGACTATTAATGCATCATTGCTCTCCCATCAACATTTTAGAATGGGCTTACTAACTTCTGCCAAAATATCCCGATTGGTATTTATGTTTGAACGATACTAACTTTAAATTTATAGAAAATGAAGTTTTAATTTAGACCAGTATTTCTCTTGAATATACAAGCATCTCAGCACACACTAATTTAATCATTGCTATTGTAGTTTAAATATGCTGTTGATGTTCAGTATTTTATCTTTCTAAGCTTATAAAAAGGCAATATTATTATTTTACTGAGTACAGGCTGAGTATGTTCAGATTCTCCCTATGGTTGCCATTTTCTTGACTTACCACAACTTTTTGTAATTCCGTCCCCCCTCTTTTTTTTGAGATTGCTTTCTTTCTTCATCAAGTATATCTCTTAGAAATTCATTTATTCCAGTTTTTTATAATAAACTCCTCTTTCATTGGGATTCCCTTATTTGAAATTTCTTTCAGTTAGATGTAGAATTTTACATTAAATGTTCTTTCCCACTAGCATTTTAGAGCTGTTATTCTACTTGTCTTTTGTTTCCGATATTGCTGGTGAATAATTGACCAGTGTAATCGGCTGTCCTCTCAGGACATAGGCTGTCTTGTTCCATCCCCTTAGTCTTTGGTTATTTGCTATTTCTCTGCGAGGTGACGAAGTGTGGGTTTCATTTGATTTATCTCCCTTGAAATTCATTATTTCCTGGCTACCAACAAGTTTTTAATCCCAGAAGATCTCAGCCTTGTTTCTTTGACTATAATAAACTTGCCCAGTCTTTACTCCATGCAAAATTCCTACAGAATATTCATTTATTCAACAATTATTTTTCAGCCCCTACCATGTGCTATACAAGTTTTATCCTCAAAAATCTATCAACCAATGAAATATACAAACATCCTTATCATGGCATGAGTTTTACATTTAGAGGCATGATATGTTAAGATGTGAAAATAGCTACAAGATAAAAGGGATCCCAGTGCTAGGATGGAAAGCAGGGACGGCTTCCCTCCTTTTAAAGTTTAAACATCAGTAGCTTTGCCTACTACACTTCATATGGCAAGTTTTCTTGCCCTCATATGAGTTTGGTAGTCCCCTCAACCTCGGCTGTATATGACTATGCCCAG